TTCCCTATGGATATAGCATTGTCCCAGCACCATTTGTTGATCCTTTCCCCATGACCTGTGCTGATAATGCAGACCTAATTTAACTTTCCACATCCTTGTGGGTCTGTTTATTGGTTCTTTATTCTGTTTTATTCGCCATTTTGGCTATTCCTAAACTAACACTACACTCTTGATCTTACAGTTTTATGGTTAAGTCTCAATATCTTGTAAGACAGTTACCCCAGACCCACCCCCAACCTTGCTTTTCTTCAAGATATTCTTGGCCTCTTGTTTCACATATGTATTTTTTAATTAGCTTATCAAATTGCAAAAAAAAATTTAAATGTGTTGTAATTTTTATTGAAATTGCATTGAATTTATAGACCAATCTGGGTAGAATTTACATGCTTATGAAATTAAGACTTATAAGACATAAAATGGAATATCTCTCTATTTATTTAGGTCATCTTTAATGACTCAATAAATTTGAAAACAATTTTTTTGACATTTGTTATGTACTTCTTTTGTTACATTTATTTCTATGAGATTTATTTTTTATGCTATTATAAAAGGTAACTTTAAAATTTTACATTTTCTAACTGTTGCTGGCATACAGTAACACCATTTTTTAGCCATCAGCCTTGTTAAATACTCTTGTTAACTAATTAATTAATTATTAATTTTTGCGTAGATTCTTTGTAATATTTACTGGTTAGTTTCTTTCCAATCTTTATACTTTAACTTCCTTCTTACCTTCTTGTTCTTGTCAGGATCTCCTGTATGATGTTAAACAGAGCTGGGGATAGATGCACCCCTGATCTTGTCTCTATTTTAAAGAGAATGCTTTCATATACCCTAAGAAAACCATAATTCAAAAAGCGTCATGTACCACAATGTTCATTACAGCACTATTTACAATAGTCAGGACATGGAAGCAACCTAAGTGTCCATCGACAGATGAATGGATAAAGAAGATGTGGCACATGTATACAATGGAATATTACTCAGCCATAAAAAGAAATGAAATTGAGTTATTTGTAGTGAGGTGGATGGACCTAGAGTCTGTCACACAGAGTGAAGTAAGTCAGAAGGAGAAAGACAAATACCATATGCTAACACATATATATGGAATCTTAAAAAAAAAAAATGGTTCTGAAGAACCTAGTGGCAGGACAGGAATAAAGACGCAGATGTAGAGAATAGACTTGAGGACATGGGGAGGGAGAAGGGTAAGCTGGGATGAAGTGAGAGAGTAGCATGGACGTATATACACTACCAAACGTAAAATAGATAGCTAGTGGGAAGCAGCTGCATTGCACCGGGGAGATCAACTTGATGCTTTGTGATGACCTAGAGGGGTGGGATAGGGAGTGTGGGAGGGAGGCTTAAGAGGGAGGGGATATGGAGATATATGTATACGTATAGCTGATTCACTTTGTTATGCGGCAGAAACTAACACAGCAATGTAAAGCAATTATACTCCAATAAAGATGTTAAAAAAAAAATAAAGAGAATGTTTTCAGTATGTCCCCATTAATTATGATGATTGCTGTAGGTTTTTTTGTTAGTGTACTATATCAGGTGTTTATTACTGTGTAACAAACAACCCCAAAACACAATGGTTTAAAATGACAAGAATTTTATTATTTTTCATGATTCTGTGTGTTGACTGTGGGGCTCCACTGGGATGGCTTGTCTTTCTGTTCTAGGTAGTATCAGCAGGGCTGGCTGCAATCTGGACAAGATCCAAGATGGTTGGAAAACTGGGGCCTTTCTCTCCTCCTGGTCTTTCTAGGGTTTCTCTCTCTGGCTGGCCTTTCCAGGAGGAGAACCTGACTTCCTTGATCGCTTAACTTGTCAAAGTATAACACTTATTGACACTTTCACTTTCAATAACATAAGAATCTTCTATTTCTAATCTCTCCTGGACTTATATGCTATTGTAGAAGTGCTTTTAGTCTATACTGATTTTTAACCTAGCAAGGTGTTGTTATTGTTTTATGTAGTTTAGATTTGTTTATATTTACTCAAGCATTTACCACTTTTTTTTTGCTCTTAATTTCTCCTTGCATCTCAGACTTTCCATTGGGGATTATGTTACTTCTGCTTGAAGTATGTTTTTCAGAATTTCCTTCAATAAAGTGGCAAACTCTCAATTCTTGAAAGATACTTTTTGCCCGCTATACAATTTTAGGTTTGTTTTTTTTTTCTCTCAGCCCATTAAAGATATTACTTTACCACTTTTCTGACTTCCACTTCTACAGTTAAATCTAATTTCCATTCTTTTGAAAGTAATATATTTTTTTCTCTCCATCTTCTTTTAAGGTCTTCTCTTTCACTTTGCTGTTCTGCAGTCACATTATATGTCTAAGTATGAGTTTTAAAAATTATTTATCCTGGTCTTCCCTGGTGGCGCAGTGGTTGAGAGTCCGCCTGCCGATGCAGGGGACACGGGTTCGTGCCCCGGTCCGGGAAGATCCCATATGCTGTGAAGCGGCTAGGCCCGTGAGCCATGGCCGCTGAGCCTATGCGTCCGGAGCCTGTGCTCCGCAACGGGAGAGGCCACAGCAGTGAGAGGCCCGCATTCTGCAAAAAAAAATTATTTATCCTGCTTAGGAGTCTTAAAAACTCACACCAAGATATAGCCAAGAATTGAAATTGGAGAGATAGTTGGGGATCAGATTGTGAAAGGTTTTAAAAGTGATACTAAGGAGTTGAGATTTTATTCTGTAGAGCAGTGATATTCAAACCTCGTAGCTGTGCACATTATATAAGAATTTTGGAAAATATGTGTTCCCTTGCACATGCTTAACATGTATAATTTTCATCATAGGTCATATAAGTTCATTTCTTCCTAATAAGAAAGAGAATATACTAAATATTTTATAAACTAAAATAAGGTGAGGATTGACTAAAATTGGAATGTTTTATGGCATATCTTGAATATATCATATTTGATATATATTTGGGTATGATTATATACTATTTGAAATACATTTGTGTGCTTCTTGAATAAAGCATGCCAATTTAAAAACAAATCACATATAATTTTTACCCATCAGTTTTATTAAATGTCTTAAAATGTTTATACTTTAAAACATCGTTTCATTTAAAAGAATAAGAATGACTTACCTATACTGCTTCAGATGTTCTGAATTTAGGCCATCCCAATATGAGATCAACACTGTTCCTAACTTGAAGCTTCACCCTTAACAAAAATACGTGTAGGACACAAAAAGGCAGGAATGCTTTCATTAATCATTAAAGAGGGTTCCCTGAAACCAATTGTCATTGCAGGTGGTGTAATCAGTCACAGAAGAGGTCTAAACAAATTCTCCAATGTCACAATGGTTTCAGAGGATCAATCAATCTCTCTGTCTCACACACACACACACACACACACACACACACACACACACACACACACACACACACACACACACACACACACAAATGCAAACAGACCTGGATGTACCACATTTACTTTTGGAAAGGGATTCAGGCAGAGGTAAGAGGTTTTGCCCACAAATAGTTATCTGCTTCAAACGGACAGGAAGTAAGGACCTTTTACTTGGGGCAAGAATGATTGGCTATAGAGAAGCAAGTCATAATTCTACTATACTTCATTTGGAGGTAGGTTCAAATGACCTAATGGCCAGATCTTTCTCTCTTCTTGTAACAGTAAACAGGTAACTAGCACGAGTTAGAAGAGAGGCATTTTTCATAACATATAAGTATGACATGTTCAGTTACTGCAATATTTTGAAATTTACCTTTTTGAAATTTTACTTGAGAATGGTAAATTAGAGTTATTTTAGTTATTTCTACATTTTTCTCCAAAAAGAGAGAAGTATGAGAAATGTGTCATGGTAACTTTAGACGTATAGAGAAGAATTTGATCAAGAGTATCCTAGAACAAGGTCTAATACATATTTTATGATTAAGTGTTAATTGTCATCAGTTATGCTTGATTATACTAAGCATTAACCACTGGACCACCAGGGAATTCCCTATTTAGACATTTATCATAATCAAGAAGGCACACATTATGTAGACAAAGTGTCCTAAAGCTAGTTCTGATTTTTTGAGTTATCTAACATAAGCTATTTTTTCTCTTTAATTTCCCTAATTTTCATGCTAGAAAGATAACTCAAACATTATAGTGAACAGCTATAGTTTTTGATTGCTCAGAGCCATTCTTTATTTGGAGAACTGTCCCTTTGCACTTTATTAGAGCTTGGTGGGGGGCTGTCATCTGCTACCCACTCTCCCCTATCATGGTGACAAGTAAGTAAACAAGCCCTGGCTAATCAGAGTGATCCAACTTTCCAGGTAAAGTGATTGGTTCAGGGGTAGACACACAACCAAGATGAACCTCTCCTGGGACTTTTCAGCCAGAGCTGGAGGGGAAACATGCATTTCTAGTCCTATGGGGCTGGAAGGGTGTGCATCTGGAGTGCTATCTTCTCATCTGTAGAAGTAGATGAGTTCAACAAACCAATAAAACAAGATCTGGGAAATGGAGGAAGGGGGCCTGATTATATAGCTTGGCCCCTACATTTAATTCCCGTCTGACATCATGTCCTCACACTCCCACACATGTGGGTGTGTTTTAAAGATAATTCGAGTTGAGTTTATAGCACTTACAACTGGAGGAGTCCTGGTAAGTACAGACATCTTTCTAATTTATTCATATATGCAAACATTCACCATGAAAGTGAATATATTACAATGAAGTATGTTAAAAATGTGGTCCAGGTGTCACTTGTACCCAGTCAGTATAACCAGCAGTTGAGAGCCTAGGCTCTGGAGTCACACTGTCTGCCTGCCTGCAGACTAAACATCACCTGGGGCTGAGAAGTGCTGCCCCTCCACAGGGGCACGGGCTTTCCAGGGAGGGCTTCACACATCAGGAACCAGGGCTGATTGCCATTTATCATCGCAAGACACTATCATCTTTCTTAGAATTGTGTTATGAGAAATGTCAACCATTCTTTGCTTCGTTATCTGTACAATTCTAGGAAGAGAAAGGTGGAACAGGAGAACCAAGAGAAACAGGAGCCAGCGTTTTTTCTATGGATGGGTAGAAGGTTCCTACAGGTTGTGCCTGTGAGGAAAGCATACAACCTAAGCTGCTATTGTGAAGCCACCATTTCATTCATTTCATCATCTACTTGGGCCCTGCAAAGCTTTTTTTTTTTTTTTTTTTTTTGCCACCCTGGTTCTGTGGCCCCCTATCACAGAAAATCCTCTCCAACACTACTGGAATATTTTCACCTGTCTGTTATGCTGCCTGAAACGTGAAGATTCATTTGGGTTAAGAAGCCTGCCAAGGGACTTCCCTGGTGGCACAATGGTTAAGAATCCACCTGCCAATGCAGGGGACATGGGTTCGAGCCCTGGTCCCGGAAGATCCCACATGCCGCAGGGCAACTAAGCCAGTGAGCCACAACTACTGAGCCTGTGCTCTAGAGCCCGTGAGCCACAACTACTGAAGCCCGCGCACGTAGAGCCCGTGCTCCGCAACAAGAGAAGCCACCGCAATGAGAAGCCCGCGCACCACGACGAAGTGTTGCCCCTGCTGCCGCAACTAGAGAAAGCCCGCACACAGCAACAAAGACCCAACGCAGCCAAATAAATAAATAAGTAAATTTATAAAATAAAAAAAGAAGCCGCCCCCCCCCCCCCAAAAAAAAGAAGAAAGAAACATGCCATACTAAAGAGACAAATCCCGCTGGGAAGTTTAGTGTGAGAGCACAGTCTTCAGTGTTAGGCTGCCTGGATTCAGAACCCAACTCCATCACTGACTGTAGCGTAGTGACTCTGGACAAGTCACCTAACCTCTCTCTGTCTCAGTTTCCTCATTTGTGGAAAGCAAATAATATAGCACCTCCCTCCCGGGATTGTTGAGGATCTAAAGAGTTAATTCATGCCTAGAATAGTGCCAGACACACAGGAAGCACTACTTAAGTGTCAACTCTTATTGTGCTTAGGTGTTCATATATCATTTAAATCGGATTTCCTTCTCACTAATCTGAGGACTGCTTCACTGAGGGAGTGGAAGTTTGAAGGGAGGACAAGATGGGGGATCTGGGACTAGAGGAATTGGAGATAGGGGATGGGGTGGGAGAGGAATCCGGAAAGAGATGGATAGGAATGGGGAGGATAAAAATAGTTAAGGGCTTTGGAGAGTGAAGTGAACCTGAATGGGATGCCACACGTGAAGTCTCTGGGCCCAGAGTAAGGGACATTACAAAATGGAAGAGAGGAAAAGGAAAGGAAGTGAGAGGGTTTTAAAGTAAATAGCACACATTTCAAAGCTTTGTCTAGTGTTGACTTGCATCCAGAAAAGGGGGCAGAAATTCTTTTCCTCCCTCTTACTCTTGGACTAGTATCACAATTTAACTGCATTATAAACGAAATAGAGTGCTGTGGACAAACCTGAGATCCCAACCATCATTTATACTCTTTCAACAGGAAATATTTTCTGAGTTCCAAATAAAAGGCTTCAATGATCTTTTGGAACAGGATCCATTTGTAAGTTGGGGCCTGCCTGTTTGCTGGGGTCGGTGGGGGAGTTTTAGGCTGGGCAGGTCAGATAGACAGCCAGTGTTTCACAATAGAAGAAACTGGTGCTTGCAGTTGTTGAGTTGTCTGGGCTAGTGACACAGCTAGTTCTAGAGCCCAATCCCCAGGTCTCCATCTCTCCAGCAGAGGCTGAATGACCACCTGCCAGCCTTCACAGAGGAATCCAAATATCCGGTTGGAGGAAGTGGAAGAGGGGAGGAAAATGAGGAAATCCCCAAGTCTTCCAAACGCAAGATTCAATTATGCTACACTGCCTGACTTTAGACTAGACCGTGGTAAGCATCAATCACTTCTTTTCTTTTTCCTTTTGGGTACTGCAACAATCTGGATCATAATAATTCCTCATTGATAAAGATCAACTTGTACAATCTGCCATGAACTTCCAGGAATGTTTAGCACCTATGAGACCCAGCTGTAAACATCTTTGCATTAGGAGAGTGATAGGGAAGTTTTTATTTATTCTTTACTTGCAAGAAATGTCCCAAGGTCATTGATGTCATTGTTCTCTCTACTTGACTGCTGTGGAGCTAACCAAGGGAGGTGAAATGACCAGCCAACTCACAGCAAATTTTCTTGTGTGACGGGGAGCTAGGGCAATGATCAAGCATCAGTGAGACTTATAAGCCGATCAATACTAACACCAGCACAATGAAAAAGTAACAGCACCAATAAGCAATAGTGAGAGGGCAAATCTTTAAGAGTACCTCTGTGTTGATTTACTCATGCAACAAGAGATAGGTGAATTGCTAAGAAAATAATAACCACTACTAATAATTGAGCATTTACTATGTGCCAGATGCTGTCTTAGTCCCCTAACCTATATCATCTCTGAACCTCACATGGAGATTTTATTATCCCTGTTTTTCTGATGAAGAGCTGAAGCGGAGGGAATTTCAACTACTTGTCTGAGGTCCCCTAGTTGGTCAGGAGCAGAGCTGAGACTTGCCCTCAGGTGGGTCTGAGGTTGCTGTCCTATGTGAGGTAGCAGCAGCTAGGGACTTTGGGTTTGGTGTTCTGAGAGATACACTAGTGTCAGACATGACCAAACTATAAAGAAGTTGTAGTGCTGTGGATAACTTGGTGGTGGTGAGAGAGTTCTGAGAACAACAAAATCGAATTATAGGAGTAAGGCAGATATTTTAGTAATACAAACAATACAACAAATAGAGGAGAAAAATTTCTTCTACCTGACTATATCACAAACCATTGTTGACCAAAAATCATGCCTTCAATAAATATTTTAGATTAAACCCATTGTTTAGGAAGCCACAATAATGTTTTCTATCTAGGAGGCAGTAAGTAGAGTGGTCAGGACCATGTGCCTGAAGCAAGACTGCCTTGAATCAAATCCTGGTGCTGCCACTTCCCATCTGTGTAACCCTGAACTAGCTGCCACAAGGGTTAAAAGATTAAATACGCATGAAGCGCTTAGAAAGCACCTGATCCATGGAAGACACGTGGTCAACATTACTCAATTCTGGGTGCCGAGTAGTTATGAATGGTGTGGTTAGGCTGAAGGTATGGTCCCCACTTTGAAGGAACTTAGAAGCTAGTCGGGATGAGAAAGCACCTGCTAATAATGTGTCTTAGGAACTGATACAACATAAAAACACCTCATGTCATCAAGGTATACACTGTTGTATCACTAATAAAAACTCAGTAAAGAATTAAGGAAAGAAAAGAGAAAGTAAGCTATGACGTAGATTTTGAAGGAGCTGCTGGCTTACCACTGCAAACATTTTCATTCAAGGATTCTGGAAAAGTGACTTGTCCATTATCAATATTGTTAATCTTGATACGTTAAATATTTAATGATAACCTTCTCTGTGCAAGACACTGGGATAGTGGTAACAAAGGACTACAAATCTGAAGAAGCTCTTATCCTCAAGGAGCTTAAGGTCTGTAATAAGTTACGTATTAACAAAATGCAAAGTAGAAAGTGCCATGGAGAAAGCATCACAATGGTTTCCAGAAGTTCTATTAAGCACGTTACAAAATGGGTTAATCTGGTGCACAAAGGAGCCCAGATGCCAAGTGCAATAATGAACATGAGAGAGATCTTGTTCTTTTTGGAGGGGTCTCCTGGGTTACAGTAGGTATTGGGACTCGTCCTCCCTAGGACATCCTTTGCAGGATGAGAAATTTAATCAGGATACAGAGGCTGAGGAGAACTTACTAAGTGGGCAAGAGATGCATCAGGATGAGAATTTATTAAATTACCTAGCAAGACAACAGGACCGATCATCTATACAGCCCTAATTCTTCTCTCTCCACACCCCACCTCCCACCTCACCATGCCTGGCAGATAGAGTCATCTTGGGAATAAATATTAGCTAAGAGATTGCTTGGTGTCAGTCAGATAGATTGACCCTTTCCACTCTATAAGAACCTTCCTGTTTTAACTAGATAAAAGTTTTGAGTCTAGACAATTACCTTTTAGATTCCTCTTTTTACATTTTTTCCTACTATTACACATTCTTTTTTCATCTGAACAGGGATTTTTAGCATGTTACAATTGTCAAGTTGATAGCTCATTTTACATTGGCTATACTCTTCGTTTCTTCCTGATGACATTCAGGGAGGATTCTTCGTTTCTTATAAATCTCTCTACAGGATGGGTTATGTTGGAAGGCTTCCTGTAGAAAGCAAATACCACTATTCTAATAGTTGAATTATTTCTTTACCTGAAAATTTCATCTTCTTCCTGACTTTTTGTCTCCATCTCTTGTCCTAGATCTTGAATACTATTTTTAGATTTGACTTCTGTTTGCTGATTTTGGTTAATTGAATAGGATTTATATTTCATTTGAAACCTAACTCATCTGTAGCTAAGCACTACTTTGGCTGTCTCTAGTGGGTTATATGAAGCCTGAGAAAATCACACTGGTGCCCTGCCTAATGGAAAGACATGTGTACAGGTAACATCAAATTGAAATAAATATCAAAGGAAAAGAAAGTCAGGAAAGAACTCGTGTTTGTAAGGATAGGGTGGAGCTTTGTCCTTCAGTTAGAGGGATAGAGGTTGAAAGGTGATTAATTTTTCAGTCACCTCCCTAAAATGTGGTTGTGGCAGGACAGTAAGCTTTTATAATGTGAGTTGTTTTTTTTAGTAAATTTATTTATTTGTTTATTTATTTATTTATTATTTTTGACTGCGTTGGGTCTTCACTGCTGCACGTGGGATTTCTCTAGTTGCGGCGGCTGTGGGGGGGCAACTCTTCGTTGCGGTGCGCGGGCTTCTCACTGCAGTGGCTTCTCTTGCTGTGGAGCACGGGCTCTAGGCGCACGGGCTCTAGGCGCACGGGCTTCAGCAGTTGTGGCACGTGGGCTCTAGAGCGCAGGCTCAGTAGTTATGGCACACGGACTTAGTTGCTCTGCGGCATGTGGGATCTTCCCGGACCAGGGCTCAAGCCCGTGTCCCCTGCATTGGCAGGCGCATTCTTAACCACTGCGCCTCCAGGGAAGCCCTATAATGTGAGTTTAGAGCCCAAGATGGGTTTATCATATGAACACCTCTAGAAAGAATAGGTGTGTCGATTAAATGCTGCCCAGGTAAATTTGTCTGAATTCCCTTTCTAGGCAAGATGGGCCCTGATCAGTGTCCAAAAGCCTGACCTGGACATTGGCAGGCAAGGCTAGACCAGGGGTTGGTGAAGCAGAGAATTGGAAGGCATCTAGAACAAGGTAAACACAGCATTGACCTGATGTTTCTGGGCAGCAATTTGAAAACAAGGGAAAGAAAATGGAGACACTATGATTGTTCAGGTCTTACAACTTCTGGCTAGAACCAAACATTTAAATTAATGTTGGTGGTTTAGAAAAGTGCTTAGAA